TCCCTACTTCTTGTTCTGTAGTTATGTGTCTCCTCTCAGGTGGTCTCTAACTCTCCTTAATACTCAAAAAAACACATCAGCCCCAAAACGTCAGCTGCTTCTTTTGGATACTCCAGGAACAGCTGAATTCTGTCACAGCATGCGCTCGTTTGCCCTCTTTCTGATCCCAACGATTATTTAATTTTAAAATCAAATGCATTGCTCAGCAGGTGCTATATGATCAGACACTCTGCAGCATCCTTATGGCACATGCCATAGAGAAGGAACTTCTTTTAGTATACAGTACTTGCCATTTCAAACTGTGGGATGGTCTTTCCCCAGAACCTTCTCTTTCTTGCTCCTGACAAGGCTCTCAAACCCTCATGCACAGTGGAGGCACAATAACAAACATGTATTAGCTGCCTGCTTTCTTTATGGTTTTACCTCTAGATGTGAGTGGGATCAGGGGCTGGGAATCCATTTTCCCAGTATTTAAAAACAACAGGACGCATTCTCATTCAAGCCCAATGTCAACCAAATTCACAGCTCTCTTATTTTCATTTACACGTGTGGCTTCTCAGCTCATACAATCAGACGAACGAAATGCTGAACACAAAAGATGATTTTTTTTTTCAGCATGTAAAAATGAGCAACTGAGCCAGCGTATTCAGTCACCTGGGCTTCCTGTACTAGCTTCTGCCTTACAACAGCAGCAGCAGGGCTCAGACACAGGGAGGCTGTAGCACACACAAGCCGCACAATGGGGGAGAAGCATGCAACTCTTGAGGGGTCACCTCTAGCCCTCTGTCCCCAAGGAACCCCATGTGCTGAATCATTCTTCCTTCCAACACGGAAGGAAATCTATGAATAAACTGGTAGTTCCCCTCCTTACAAACCTTGCCATCGATTTAACATTCAACCTCCTGTCTGCCACATTCTTTCTTGCTTTCCTTTTCTGCCCACCTAGCAAATTAAAGCAGCAAGGACTTCTCTGACCTTACCTGCAGCATTGTGCCTCCAAAGCTATTAATAGCTCCCTAAATGTCTATGTGCTGCAATAAGCATGCTCATTCATTAACGAGCAAGTCAAGTTTCGAGTGTGAGGAGACATCATCAGCAAGTATAAAACTCCCTGAGAATCCCGCCAGAGATACTGTTACTTCCCTCAAGACATTAGAAATGTATTCCTTGGAGATTGAAAGTGATATTCAGCTGGTCTATTTATAGCATAGGACGTGCTGACATCCCACCAAACTGGCTCCCTTCAAAACATGTAGTCTTAACAGGAAATATCACTTTCAGCAGCGAGAGGCATTATATGTTTTGCAGCTGTGGAGTTAAGTTTGCTGACATCTCTGGCTGTCCATTGGTAAACTCCATTTAATTCAGAAAAAGTAATCTGATAAATAAATGAACAATCAGATTTTTTTTCACACAGTCTCTTCTATAAATAGATCAAGGCAAGTTCTTTTAGAAGGCAAAAGATGAATAACTTTGCATGCTAAGTGCAAGATGCAGCGGAGGCAGGTCTGTGGGTGAGTCTGTGAGCCGTTTGCTCGAGAGCAGCCAGCGACAGAGCTGTGAACAGAACCCATGTGCTCCAGCTGCTCATCCCCATTTAACTGCATGAGCCTGTACTTGTTAAACATTTCTCTGCAGACCACCGCTTCCCAGCCCCAGCATTGACTCCAGAGTCGCATTAACTGCAGTTTGGCTGAATCCTTAACATCCTGTTTCCAGAGAAAAGTAGTACAGCTCAGTAAAGCAGAACATCTGGTCTTAGCTTATGGCCAAACTTGCCCTATGGTCTGCCTCCAGATACAAGTTAAATATACTTGGGCTCAGCCAGCATACTGAGCAGGACTGATTTTGGGTTTTGATGATGGTGGGGGGCAGCCTGGATGAGTTTTGGAGAATATCCGAATATTGGGAAGGATAGCAGTCGAAAGAATTGACATGTGACACTGTCCCCCAAGAGCACAGACATAGGATGTCAGCAGAGCACCCATGGTACGAACACAGTCCATAAAAGTGATCAACAGGGGTTACAAAAGGAAATAACCTTGAGATCCCGTAGAACCGATTTTAGTGCAGAGTGGGGAAAAAAAAGAATATATATCCAACACATCTCATAGATGATGAAGACACAGAGGAGATAAAAGGACAGTATTAAAAGACAATCATAGCCCCTAGAAGAATGGGAACAACAGAAAGAGACCAATTGCTTCAGTGTTGTCTCCTGTGGTTAAGGATGCCCTATGCCTGGATCAATACTGCTACTTAAAACCCCAGCAGGTCCCCACAGCCCTACTGCAGACACATTCTGCTTTTCCATTTGTCATCCATCACGTTCTGCTACTGCAGGCAGGCAAAAACTGTAGAGAAGCATGTGTCTGCATGTGTATGTGCCTTCTGAACCAATCTTCCTGCATAAACTGGTAGACTCTGCAGAAATGAGTCAGAATAAATGTAGATGAAACACAGAAAGCTTCTCAAAAATCCAGATAAAAATTGGAAAAAAGCAAAGCAAGAAACCTATCATTTTTACCAGGCCACTGTGAAAGGGATGGTATGGCTAGGTGAATTGTGCTCACTCTACAACCTTCCAACCCCACTCTACCTTCCAAAAAAAAAAAAAAACCCCAAACGAAAACGCAACAAAAAACCCCAAGGTATGTGTTATTTTCAGACAGAACGAGAAACTGCAAAGAAACCTACAAGCCACAAATGAAGGGGGAAAAAAAAAAAAATGCCTTCCCATCCAACAAGCTCTTATACTTTAAATGTTCCAGTCTGAAGTACTCCAGGATCTTCCTCAGTCCAACTCACCTGCAAATCACCATCTTTTAAGGTAGCAACATCTCATTACTCACACCAAGCTTCAGACATGCACGCCCTGTCTCTCAGCATGGAATCCGCTAGTCTCGCAACTCTCACAGATTTCTGAGAAATAAGGAGAGGCACATGCAGTTCTTTGTTCTGAAAAACTTCTCCATCTCATCTTCACACTTTCACCTCTAGCCAAACTGTATTCTTTTACATTCCAAAAGAACATTCCTCCCCTTCTGCAAAATTATGTACTGCAAAAGCTAGAAGTGGAAGAGAAAGAGCAGACTACAGAAATTATTTCTTTCTACTTGGAAGTGGTGTGATGCTACAGAGTTTGTCCATTTAGTACAACATTTGGAGAATAAGTGGAAGAGCAAGAAAATTTGACTTTAACAACTCACTGATGAAATTGGCCTAACCCTTGCCATGAATTTGTAAGAAAATAGTCTAGTCCCTAACAGAAAGCAGGTTAGGAAATGTTATCTGCTCTTCAGCGGCTACTTGCTGAAAGGGGCAAATGGTACATTTGGGGAAAGTCTTAAACCTGAGGTCTACCAACTCTTCCAGCACTCTTGCAAATTGAAAGCATTTCCAATGCTGTGGCTGATACAAATCAGGCTACATACAACTCTGATTAAAAAAAAATAATGTTAAATGAAACAGATCCTCCTGTGTACAAACTGTACAGGCTCCTTTTCCATATTTTTCAGACCGCTCTTTCCTGCATTCCTTGATCTCTTTCAGGACAGAAGCATAAAACTTACTACAGTTTAGTTGTTTGTCAGTAAATCCCTGTGGGTTTCATGAAAGAAGCATATGAAAAGGAGCATAATATGATAGAAGAAGGTATCTCACAATAGTTCTTTTTACTGTATGAGTTGTAACTAATTTATTATATAATAACAGACTGTATACAGTGATGGTGCCTGTATGAGAGATCTCAATGGATTTGTTTCACAATGATATATAAAGCTAATGCTAAAAAGCATTTTAAATCAGAGTAAGCCATCCCTCTGTTGTAAGTAAAAAAAAAAAAAAAAAAATCACAATAGTTGCACACGTTAACTTCCTCCTAAGACAACTCAATTTTGGGGGGATTTCTAAGCTCATTCTCCAACCAT